TCCGAGGAATCAAATGTCATAAAGGAAATGTTCACGCTTTTCAAGACGATCGAGGAATCATGAACAAATTGCTATTCTCTGATAGCTTTGCGAACCGGAAAATAGTACAGTCGTAGATGAAGATTTGCCTTGAGAATGCGGACCGTTAAGATGTAGGAAAGTCATCGTCTACGAACAGACGTCTCATGCGGCTCATCTACTGAATTCTGCAACTTGGTGAAGTTCAAAGGGGTGCGAACGGCGTGTGTTTGACCTGAAAGTCATCGTTTTGCCAGGTAATTTTTAGTTCTGATTCTCTACAGGTCCTAACTAATGGACCATTTCCACCCTTGACATTAAAGAAGGCCGTAGGGGATTTGCAATATTATTGGGGTACCTTGTGCGAGTTGGTGGCGAGGAAATGTTAAATACAAAAAGTTGTCTGCTCTTTACTAATCTTAACCATGATCTCAGCTAGCAAAGGAAACTTGAGAAAAACAATCTGTAAGCTTATGTTGGCCTGTTAGACTACTGTAGTTTGCTATTTGACTAGTGCGTCATGCTGCAAAAGTGTAGACATAGCCTGCTGAAAATGGGTGTTTTTTACGCGCTATGTAGAGCAAAACTGTTCTGACGATTTATCTAAAATGAATATCAGACAAATTTCTTTTGATTTCCAAATGTTGTGTACAAATTGGAATAGCAAAACTTCAGTGTGGAGGAACATATTAACAAAAAACAAGTTGTACAGTTGTTTTAATGTTGTTGGGTTGTTTTTTTTTATCACCCCTGTATATTATAACAACGTCAGCTCTATCTGTCATACGTGTTTCTCATCAGCTCAACAAAATGTTTCATTTCGTAAACTTGCTACATTAGAATTACTAAGTTCTGTCAGACATTTTGGACTATTTTGAGTTACTACACAAAAACTATGAGGTCAGAAATCAAAAGTTTTGTTTGCTCTATCAAAATTGTAAGATTATTCGAAGTCGTTATGAAAATATTCAAAGAAATGCTTTCGAAAAAAACTTGACACGTCGTAAAACTCATCATTTTAACTTTAAATTTCTCAAAAACTAGGAACTGAGCAGGTAGAACTTTAAAATCCAAAGTTATCGAACCGCCAAAAGTATGTTGTTGCCCAAGAATTAATGCTTCTGCACGTGAGCAGCGCTCACGTATGCTGAAGATACGTTTTTGTGCCATATCATTACGTCAAACACACACACAACACACACACACACACACACACACACACACACACACACACACGGGGGAACAGACCAAAAGACAGTTTTTTATGTAGATGTTTTAACGCCCCTATCGACCTAATTTCGACCATTCTGGGAGGCGTGATTCGAAGAATCCAACGTCTCGGCCAAAAGACACAGAAACTCAATAAAAAAGTTTTTACTCACTCGGGAATCCTTCTCGGGTCTCTTGTGTGTGACTTCGACACGCGTTATCTAATGAGAAAATGTAACTGCTACCCCCCAGACGTCGGTGATAAATTATTATAAAAGCAGCTTTTCTTGAACCAGAAATACCTCTCCAAATTATGTACAAAGTGCACATGCACTGACTTTGCATCTCATTTATTGCTCACTGCACGTGTACTGACCTTGCTTCTTATTTAATACCAAGCACACGTGCACTGACATTGCTTCTTATACAATGCCAAGTGCACTGCACTGACCTTGACTCTCAACACCGTGCGTCTGTTTTGGGGTAGGTTCATGAGTGAGAGAATGAGAACAGCTTACTCATTTCACGTGACGCGTGATAGGTGCTGACGGAAGACATGGCAAGGGGGGTTTGGGATTTGTGAGGGGAGGGAGGGTCGGGATTCGAGGAGAGTTGAGGAAATTCTGTTTTTCATTTTTGAAGGTGGGATGGGAGTGGGCAGGTGAGTTAAGAGAGGAAGTGCCTGGGAATTACGGTGTGTGTGTTTTTTTAGTTGTTGTTTTTTGTTGTTGTTTCGGAGAGGGGGGGGGGTGTT